ATATCCTTTGCAGCTTGTCAATAAACAGGTTGTCCAAGTCTCTGGAAATATCATCGTCTGTGTGACCTGAAACACAGTGCTTCAGGAGATGCTCTGCAGCCTTGGTTGGGGAAAGTGTTCCGGCCCTGTTATTGGAAGCTGGGTGCAGGTTCACTGTGGACTCAGCCTCTGGAGTCTCTTCATTGTCTTCATAAGTAGGATGCACAAGTTCCTGCTTTTCTGAAGTTGCTTTGGATGACTTGATTTTATCTACAAGGGAGTTGCTAGGAATTAGTGGTGAAGTGTCAAGTATCTGGTCAGAATTTGGAATCTTGCCTATATCCACATCAACACCTGCATTTGCCTCTTGCCTTAGTTCAACGTCTAAACTAACAAGATAAAAATCCACTTTTTCCTTTGTCCTCTTCATGTTCTGCAATGGCAGCTTTCAGTTTGGAAGGGGTGTCTTAAGATCTTTTTTTTTTTTTTTAAATTTTATTGAGTTTATTGGTACATTTTAGGGATACAGTACAGTTACATTCATTGTTGGGATCATGTACCTTTACATGGCAAGTCTTGATTCTCATTTTTTCCCCTTACCTCTGCCCTCCTTTGTTGGGCAATTTTCAAGTGAAGTTTTGTATTCTCCTCTGCTAAGACTCATTAAGTCACCACTGGCCCAATAAGCGACCTCCAACATCCTACTCTTCTCAGGTCCCGAGTTCCTCTGCCTAGACCTGAAACTGACATTCCAGGCCCTTGGAGGAGGGGACCACAGATTCACCATGCAGAAGCTCCCTGCATAGCACCAAAGCAGCGGGCTTGTGGCCAGCTGGAGGCGACTCAGCTTGCTGCTGCAGGCCATCACTGGCCAAGAGTCACAGCTGGACTTGACCGAGACAAAGTCACCTTCCAGGGAGGAGGGACAGATGATGTCCTGGGGCACGAACCTAGGCACTCATTATTAGCACTTGTTGATGGATTAACTTTTACGAGATCTGCATTTATAGCTCTAGCTTTTTCACAAGTTATAGACTAAGGCTCCAACCTGCCATCTGCCTTTCATTTATCCACACTAGTAATAGCCTTTCTCCCTCGTCTAATATTGTTGATTGTGCCCTACCAATCTGAGTAACACCTTTAGCAACATTAGCTTCCTTATAGAAATTTTTTCTCTGTTAAGATTGTCGAGATGGTGGGTTTTGACATGCTATGCCTGTTAGTGAGATGGGTCACAGTGTCCTCCTTTTCTATTGTGATTGTTTTCTCTACCATCCTTCCCTTCCTTAACTTCTTTTCTAGCTTTTTGGGGGCTATTTTGATAGCAGTAATCGTAGCAATTATACAAAGCACTGACTGAATTCACATCCACAGACACGTGCATTTGGGTTCACACTGAAGCTTACAAATGCTTACATACACTTTCCCAGCATTGTGAGTCTTTGTTTACAACTGCATAAGCAGCTGGCATTTGGGTTGCAACTCAAGACTTTGGTCATAAGTTAAAACTAAAATTCCCATTGTAACCCAAGTTGTTTATATGTGAGGCTGATCATAACTCGAGGGCCACTGTATTTGCCTGTCGCTGCCCCATCCCATATTTGTCTACATTGTTTTACTTACTGTAGCAACTTTTATCTAACTTCAAATAACTTCAAATTGGCAGTTCTTGAACTTTTCTTGTTTCTTCTGAATTTTAGAAATAGGCCGGGGACGTAGCTCAGTAGTGCTGTGCCTGCCTGGCAAGCACTACTAGGTCCTGAGTTTGATCCCTGGTACCAAAAACATAGTAGTTGAGCAGAATCCGTTGCAAATAATCTGGAAGGCCAGGGGTAAGTGTATCGCTCAGTGGTAGAGCACCTGCTTTGCATGTGCAAGTCCCTGAGTTCAATCCCCAGCACTGCCAAAAAGAAAAAAATCCTAGGATTTCAGTTAGAATTCCTTAGGGTGTTTTGAGGTCACTTCAGCATTTCCTGTGTCCTTTTGCTCTCCTTTGGGCCCTCAGGCTCAAGCTGGGCCCTTGCACAGCAGTTCCCCTGTAAGCTGCGCCCCCTGCTGATAGCTGGCATGTATTAATTTTTACAGGCTCACAAAGGCAAAATATTTTTTATTCCAACCCAGTTCTGTGGGACACATGACAGCACTGTCCACACCATGCATACAGCAGAGGCAGTGCATGTACTGGTAAAGAACTGGAGCGAGGCTGTCTGGATCCTCTTCTGGCTCTCCGTCTATATGTAGTATGACCTTTTCAAGCTCCTTAATCGCACTCTCACTCTGAGTGAGCTTGCCTCTTTTGTACACGTTGGATGATAATAGAATCTGCCTCATTGAATTGTATGAGGATTAAATAGGTTTGTATAAGAAAAATGCTTAGTATAGTCCGGGTAAATGAGAAGTACTATATGAGCAATATTGTTCTTCTAAGCCACATGGCTTAGAGCAGGCCTCAGGTGGCAGAGACTCATTTCAGTGGCCATGTCTGTGGGTTGGGCAGCTTGCTGTCCTTTCCTACTGCTTCAGTGTCACCCATTGACAAGTGCTGGACTCTGGTTCAAACTCTTTTTTTTTTTTTTTTGATGGGATCAAACTCGGGTCCTTGCACTTGTGATTCAGGCTCCAGAACCACTGAGCTAAATCCCCAGCCCTCAAACTCTTATCTTCCCTTCAGTGCAGCTGTGGGAGTGTTCCTGAGCCTCTCCAAAGCTGCTCCTCAGTGGTACACGAGACGATGACAGTACAGTGTTTCTTCTCGGTGTGCCTCCTGAAGAATCTCTCCCTCTCCAGTGCCCACCTCTGAGCATACCCAGCCGCTCACCATTCTCCAGCCATGGCTACCCCATGTGCACCAAGCTTCTTCCAAAACAAAATGTCCCTCATTCTTTCCTCCCCTTAGCTTTTCGTTCTCGTGTGAAAAGGTGACGGATGACAACTGTCTTCACTCTTTCATTGTCAGCTGTTAGGCCTCTTTGCTACGGCCTAGAATCATAACATTGTTTGTGGTGATTGACCACAAACAAGATGCAAGGTGTGTGGGCTCAGTGCTCCTGACTTCTCAGCAACTGGTGCTGTTGCCCCCCAGCCCTACCCTGCGCTAGGGATCAAACCCAGGGCCTCACATGTCTTGTTTATATATAGAAGTCTTTCTTCCTTTTATTTGTTTTTTAAAGAGACGTGAGATTTGTTAGAGATAGATATAGGACAAGTGCTCAGAGAAATGAGACACAATACAGTTGGCAACCCAGAGTCAGAACTGCCTAAGGAGGAAGCTCTGCTGTTTTCCGTCATGTCTAGAACAAATGTCCACGTCCCTGGGACATGGCTATCCTAACAAGGGATAAGGGAAGCAGGAAAGAAGTTGACCACAATAGCTAGGCTTCGCATGCCTGTAATCCCAGCATTCGGGAGGCTGAGGCAGGAGGATCGCTGTGAGTTCGAGACCAGCCTGGGCTACACAGTGAGTTCCAGGTCAGTCTCAACTACATAGTGAGACCCTGTCTCAAAAAACAAAAAGCAAAAAAACTAGGCTTTACCCAGAAATTTACCCCAAAGATGTTTATATCTAGGGAACTATAGTACACATACAAGGAATTCATAGAGTTTGAATAGTCGAGATTTTACTTAACAAGTACAGATCACATCAAGGAAAACAGAGCCGTTTATTTCCTTCCCCCTTTCAACATGTTCCCTCTCTCCCTGGTTCAATCCCTGAACTTAAATCTTAAAAAAAAATTTAAGATTTACGTTTTATGACAGATAAAAGCCTGAATGAGAAAGAAGGCACAAGGAGAGGATTATTGTTTTCTTAGGGGAGAGAGGAAGTAAAAAAGAAAACCAGTGGACTCCTTCTTGGTCTGAGTCCATAGACTTCACCAAGTCCCGGGATAGCATCAGCCATCACCTGATTGACACTTCAGTCTGCATGGCTAAGGACAGACTCCAGCCACCCCAAAGGGGAACCATGACATCAGGCAGAGTGAGAGATCAAAGCAGTGGTTTAGAGAAACTCCCTCAAGCTAAATGTTTAGGTCCCCACAGATGTGCATGCATTTGGAGATGGCTTTCTCCAGTGTGACCTGGGGGCCAGTTCTCTCCACTGTCTCAGCTTTGGGTTTCCCATGCTGGTTGCTTGAGAAACTTTGCTTGAGATCCTGGATGGTGGCTTCATCCTTTTTTATTTTTATTTTTTGGTACTGGGGATTGAACTCAGGACCTTGTGCTTATGAGGCAGGCAGCAGAACCACTGAGCTAAATCCCCAACCCTTCATCCTTATTTTGTGTCTCCCTGGAAGAGCAAGATTTGTAAGGGTCCCATCTAACTCTGGGACAGGGTGTGGTGCTAACCTAAAGGAATACCCAGTGAGGCCACTACTAGCCTTGGAAGATGCCTCCTGAACCTTTTCCTGTTTCTGGTCAGGGGTGCCTCTTGTCTTCCATGCTTTTATATACAAGCACGCATTTTCTAGGGGCTTAGGAATCTCTGACTACTGGAGAGAGGGAGAAAAAGATAAGCTGTGCTTCAGAGTCAAGGGATTGGGGGAAAATGGCAAAGAAAGAAAATAACTGAATGCCTTTTTTTTGTTTTTTGAACCAGGGATTGAACTCGGGTCCTTGTGCTTATGAGGCAGGCGGTAGAGAACTAAATCTCCAGCCCACTAAATGCCTTTTGGCTGGATATCCCAAACCAAAGTAGAGATATATGTAGTCTCCTCTTTTTAGGTCTGTTCATGGTTGCCAAGATATATGTAACAGAGTTGGATCTGTGAGGTCCCTGAGGCTGAAATAAGGCACTTCTCCCACGCTTTTAAGATAAGTTTGCAGGTTCACTGACTTCCAGCATGGAAAATAATTTTCAGGATGTGTGAGTAAAAGTGACACAAGAAGGGTTTACTAGAGGAAGATAAGGATGCACTCAAGAATGGAGTGTGGGTGCTCAGAGAAAGGAGACACCGCCTTCCTATTAGAGGCCAGTGCACTGGGGCCCAGACACCTTAGTCATCTTTATCCTTTTCTTCCTGCAGCCTGGTGCAAGCAGAATACTGGCATGATCCCATAAAGGAAGACGTGTACCGCAACCACAGCATTTTCTTGGCGGACATAAATCAGGAAAGGGTAAGGCGTCAACCAGGCTCTCACAGTTGGGCATTCATTTCTCTGTAGACATCAGGAACAGGTTAGCAGTGACCCTTTACCCAGGCTGTACCAGGCAGAAGTCGAGAGCCAGAAATTTCAGTTTCGGGAGGCAGTGCTCATGAGATTCAGCTTGTTTTAAGGAAGCTGGAGTTCATTTGGCCTTCCTGCCTGAAGTCTTTCCCTTTCCTGGTGTGGGACCTTCGGGACAAGGTCTGCAGAGTGCTGGCTGCCTTCCTGAGGGAAGCCTCCCTGGTGGGCCCATGGGGTGGATTTTCTCTGAAGAGACTGAACTAGAAGAGATACTGCAGAGGGCACTGCGTGTGTTGCAGACATGGGCACAGTTTGGGGAGGTTCTGGTAAGCTGGATGGCTTAGTCTGTATTCAGCTTATATGGATGGGGTTTTTGATGTTTTTGAACAAGAATATTTGAAGGAGAAAAATCATTAAACCAAACCAGGAAACAGTATGGAAGCGTATTGCAGTACCACCCAGAATTTGCAGTTTGTTTATTTTCCCCTGGCTTCCTGTGGCAAGAAGCCTTTCATCTACATGGTCGATACCTGCAGAGAGCGGACAGATCTGTGGTGACACATTTTGCCATGGTTGGCAGCATGTCAGATACAATGGTCTGAAAGGCCGCTGAAGGAAGCTGGAATGGATGCCTAGAGCTGGGGAGACCAGAACACGGAGGCTTTGACCCCCTGCTGGAACCTGGGGGTGATGAACCTGGCCTTTCTTCCAGAGTGTCAACGAGTCCTACAAGAAAAATCTGATGGGCCTGAAGAAGTTTGTGATGGTGAAATTCCTCAATGATAGCATTGTGGATCCTGTAGACTCTGAGGTGAGAGACTACTTTGGCCACAGCATGCCAGGAGACTGCAGGAGTCAGTGGCACTATCACGTAGCTGCCTGCCTGGGCAAAAACCTTCAGTCCCCTGTGCCAGTCTTTGTACAGAACAGGGGTTCTGAGACCCACGAATGGGACACGAATTGGATGTAATCCCCCAGTTCCATTCCAAAATTATATGTAAAAGTATGTGATTACATTCCCTGGAGGGCCTATAATTTTAATTCTATTTCAAAAATCTCTGTGACCTAAAAAGGCTCCGAATGACTAGCACAAAGTCTGCATTCCTCAGGTTGGCCGGCCAGGTCTGCTTGATTAGGCTTCTGCTTCCCTTTCTGCTTCCAGCTTCATCTCCCCCGTCACTTCATACAGGGTAGGACTGACGTGTCCCAGCTTGGTACGTGCTTTCTCTTGCTTATTACTGTGCACGTGTTTTCATCTGCAGAATGCATTTCCCTGGCTTTTCTACCTGACAGACTGATATTTATCTGTCAAACACAAATGTCACTTTCTCTAGATACCATCCTCGTTCCAAGCAGAATTTGCTTTTTTATACTGAGGCCTTTCTCGTCTAGTTCCTTTTTTCTTTGTTTTTCTTTTCTTTCCTTCCTTCCCTCTCCTCTCTTTCTTGTCTTTTCTCTCTCTCTCTCTCTCTTCTCCCCACCCCAGGGATAGAACTCATGACCTCACACTTGCCAGGCAGTCGTGGCACCATGGAGCTACCTCCCTGGCCAGCTCCCTTTTTATAGAATCACCAGCTTCTATGCAAGTCCTCCTCACATTGTCAGACCAGCACGGGCTGGCAACCTGTGAGCTGTGAGCCAACTCCAGCTGTCCACTTTTGAATAGCTTGCAAACTAAGAATTTTTACTTATTTTAAATGGTTGGGAAAAAAATCAAAATATTTTATGATGTAAAAATTATGTGAAACTCCCAATTTCCACATCCATAAATGAAGTTTCATTGAAATATGATCATATACTTTTTTCTTTCTGAGGCAGGGGAGATGTTTTTATTTTTGCAGTAATAGGGATTAAATTAGTGGCCTTTGCACTGAGCTACATCCCCTGCCCTACTTATTTTTTTTGAGACAGGGACTTGCTAAATTACCCAGACTGTACTTAACTTAAAAGTCCTCCTGCCTCAGCTTCCAAGAGTGCTGGGATTACAAGTGTGTACCACCAGCCTGTCATACTCATGTTTTATATATTGTCTGGAGTTGCTTTTGTGTTACAGTGGTAGTTGCAGCCATATGGCTCTTACTGCTTAAAGTTTGTTTTGTTTTGTTTTTTTGTTTTTTTTGAGACAGGGTCTCTCTATGTAGTTGAGACTGACCTGGAACTCACTATGTAGCTCAGACTGGTCTCGAACTCACAGCAATCCTCCTGTCTCAGCCTCCCGAGTGCTTGGATTACAGGCATGCGCCACCACGCCCGGTAGCTTAAAGTATTTTGTATCTGGCCTTTACAGAAAAAAGTTTGCTGGCCCTTTGGTGAACAATGAATTGTTTCTGTGCCTTGCTAGGCTAGAAGCTGCTTGGGAAAAAGCATTATATGTTCACCTTTGAATGGCTAGTGTTCAGCACAGGGATTTTCAGTTGGTGTACAGTAAAGAAAGCAGAACTTTTGAAGAAATGGAAAGCTCTTTGGAAAGATTTAACTTATCCTTCAGGATTGGCTTTTACTTAGTTTTGGGTTTTGATGTTTTTGAGATGGGGTCTTGCTAAGTGGTTTAGGCTGAATTGCACTCACTGTGTAGCCCAGGCTGGCCTTGAAATCACAGAGATCCTCTTGCGTCAGCTTCCAGAGTGCTGGGATTACAGGTGTGCATGTACCACCACACCAAGCTAGAATTGGCTTTGAAATCAGAGTCAAGATATATCCTTTAAAAAAAAAAGACAATGCCCTTATCTTGGGGGGGTGTCTGTCTATGCTAGCCTTGAACTCATGGCAATTTTGTGCCTCAGCCTCCCAAGTGCTGGTATTACAGATAATGTGCCACACCATTCTCGGCTCCCATTTTTCTTTCTTCCTTGCTATACATAGCTTTATGATGTTCACTTTGTTGGTAGTTTTAGGTACAATCCAGTTTCAAATCTGTTTGGCATTGTATGCTGGATGTCTCTGGTCTGACCTGATTTTTCTTCCTCCTTTCCTGCAGTGGTTTGGATTTTACAGAAGCGGTCAAGCCAAGGAAACTATTCCCCTACAGGAGACCACACTGTATACAAAGGTACTGGGAAGGAGAGATTTGCCTTGGGAGTTGGTGCTGTCTCATGCAGCTCCTGGTTTCTGATGGTGCTGGGTTCTTAGGTGCAAGAGCCCTGTGCTGTCCACCCAAGAGCATTAGGTGCTCATGAGCCCCCTCTTGTGTCTGATGTGGACAAGGCCTGTAAGGGCTCAGGCTCTGGTTTATAGAAATTTACCACATCCTAAGGAAAGACGACAGTTATCTTACGACTTTCATGAAAAACAAGGGAAACATCTCTAAGGTTTTCCTTTTTAAAAAAAGGCTGGAACTTGTTGGTTTGGAGGTTCGGTTTGCCACAAACCTAAGCCCAATATAAATGAAAACATGACAGAGTACTGCTTTACAGCAGTCAGAGATGGAGAAGTTCTGCTTTTAAAACAGACATTGCTGGCTGGGGGTGTAGCAGAGTATGTGGTTAACTTGGTGGTTTCAATCCCCAGCAGGAGAACTAGATCAGTAAATTTGCTGTTGACAAGGGGAGTTTCTCCTGCAGGAAGGTGAATGGAATGAGTGTGAATTTTCTTTAGCAGTAGATCCTGTTTCTCAAGAAGTAGAAGTTTCACCACTGTTATGGGCCTGCCGAACTCCAAGGAATTTATATTGGAGATAGACTGTCTCACAAACGCACAAGTCTACTATTGAATCAATCACTTTCCACTAGAGTTCCTCTGCCTAATTCCAGAGGTCATTTTCTCCTCTCAGATTTTTCTTACATTTGGTGTCCCAGCTTGTGAGGAAAAAGAGAAGCTAGTTTCTGGTAAGAGTTTAGGAAATTACAGCTAAGAATGTCCTTATTGTGAAACTCAAACTGGTGGTAGTCATGGCAGAAGCACCATTTTTGACCCTGCCATAGCTGCTCATTTTCCCACCCAGAGGTGGTTCTGTGGTACCCAGGCTGTGGGTGACATTTTCAATTGGAGGGTATGGAAGTGTCCTGGGTTTGTTATCAACAGGTTGGCTATGGTTTACCTTAAAACGTTAGCTAGTTTTCTCCTGACTTTGGCTTATCCCACTCATGTTTTCAGTTTTATCTGTGGACAAAGCTGAATTTAGGGGCTCAGAAATAGCTGAGTAATATGTGTGAGGCCCTAAATTTGATCCCCAGCACCACAGGGTGCAAAACAAGACTATGACTGTAGAGAAACCACCTCAAAACTGGACAGAGGTATCTTTTCTGGTATACCTCTTTTAATACTAGTAAGACAAAATTATATTTTGAGAATATATCTCAAGTTAACATTGTATTACAATACTGTCTTACTCTAAAAACCTTTTATTAAACACTGATTAATTATGCCCTTTCTCTGTAGGACCACCTGGGACTAAAGGAAATGGATAAAGCTGGAAAGCTAGTGTTTCTGGCTACAGAAGGGGACCATCTTCAGCTGTCTCAAGAATGGTTTTATGCCCACATCATACCCTTCCTTGAATGAAGCCCCCCAAGTTTGTAACAGAGCTCAAGGAATCCCTGACTCTTCCAAGCCATGTGAAAGTTTTTTTTTTTTTTTTTTTGCCCAATCCTGAGCTCAGATCAGCTTGCAGCTAATCCTTCTTTTGTTATCATCTAACATGCCCTACTTGGAAAGATCCGAATCTTATCCTTTGCTGCCTCCTATCACCATATGGTGTTGAATTAAATTTTAATTAGTTAATAACTAGAGACTTGTTTTACACCCTTGTGATGTGGTCAGGCTGACTCAGGAAAGGGAATCTGCTGCACATCAGTGCCAGAATTGTGGCCAGGCCCCGATGAGACTGAACAAATGAAAGCAGCAGGAATAAACGTCTAGCCATACTTAAGGCAAATAGAAGGCCAAGCCTGAGGCCTGAGGTGCTACGTAAATACTATCATCTCAGTGTTATTGGTGATTTAACTAGTGCTCAGAAAGGTATTGCTGGTATAATGTTTCTGCATAATTTAAGGCTGCTTTCTTGAGTCATGTTTCCTTGTGTGGTATCTTAGCAGTTGCTTGACAGATTCCACTGGCCTACCGTCCTGCCTCTCCAGAGCTCATTTTGTCTCCTCAGGTAGTGATGAACTAGTTGCTTTGTTACAAAAGGAGGGAAGTAGTACTCAGTGGAGTTGCTTCAGAACAGAAATACATCTTGCATCATTTAAGACAGTGGGGAGGTGATGGAAACAGATGCAGGAGTGAATGAGGCAGCTGGTTCTTCCTGCTCCATCTTTGATTAATCTATCTTTACTATGGGCCTAGTGGCCTGGATGCTAATCACTGGCTGGAGAAATAGTGGGACAGTGTAAAGAAACCAGCATCTTCCAAACTGATGCTGATATATTGTGAGGAAAGAAAGACCTGAAGAGGCAGGTGCAGTGCTACACACCTGTAATCCCAGCTACTGGGGAAGCTTGAGGAAGGACTATGAGTCCAGCTGGAGCAATTAACATGACCCTGTCTCAAAATATAAAGGGTTGGGGATGTAGCTCAGTGGTAGAGTGCTTTCCTAGGACACACAAGGCCCTGGGTTCAATTCCCAGTACCTCAAAAAAAAAGAATTTAAAAAAAGCTTCAAGATTGTTCCATGTGTCTTTACTTCTTTCAGCTCTTGGAAACCAACCCACATTAGACTAAGGACTGAGAATTCTTTATGGTTAGTAGTGAAAACCATCAATCTACCACTTCTTACCTTTCTTAAACTTGGAAGTCTTAGCTCCCGCCTGAACACTTATCAATACATTTTGGATGACTTCTGTAGAGGGCCAGTGTGGAGAAATGACTGAGCTATGTTTTCAAGAAAATACTGCAGTTTACCCTTTATGGGTTTTCCTTCTTCTCCCAAGTCTT